CATTGTACCATCTTCATTAGTTCTGTGTCAGTTCAATCTTTTCTCTTCTTTTCTCTTATCTGTTTGATCGTGTCATGTTAACATATATAGTAAATGCACCTTGAGGTAACTTTTGATATAATCTTTATACTGCCGAGTATTAAAAACAACCTTCAAAGTGAGTTTGTCATTTCACATAATTACTAGTACAGTACTTAATGTAAAAGAAATAGAACCGATCATTGCAATATCAGAAAGATCTGTTTAGTTCTTCCTTTGGCCATTTTGTTTTTATGATCAGTCAGTCTCAAAACTAGAACACTGACAGGTCAGTAAGGGCCCCGTCTTGTGGCAATATATCCCCCATAATCATCAAGAAGTAATCTGCCCATATAGCTGAGCTTGACGTCTGACATTTGGATTTCAAAAAGAATCGAAGGAAGCAAAATATACATTTTACATGTACTATGATGTGAGTCTTGTTTCCTTCTACCTCCATATTTGCTGGGCTAACAGAAATGTAAATACCGGTGCAATACTCATTTGTTAGCTTTGATTTGTTTTATTTAACCTTACATACCTCCTCAATCAAGAGCCAGGGTCAAAGTCAGAGATCCACTTTGTCTTTGACCTTTGGACCCAAATGACCTTGACCATTAACCCAGCGACCCTGATCTTTGGTCAGTTGACTTATTCTTTAATTCCGACCAACTTTGCTTCATAATATGATAACAAAATGTTCATCAGTGAAAAATACAAAACTTGACCTTAAACCCGTAACCTGGACCTAAGGTCAGTTGTCTCTGTGTTAAGTTCTGAACAACATTGCTTCATAATGTCATAACAAAATGTTCATCAGGGAAAAGGTACAACATTTAACCTTCACCTTTGACCCAGTGACCTTGACCTTTGGTCAATTGACTCCTTGTTTAATTCTGAGCTACATTGCTTCCAAGTGTCATAGCGAAATGTTCACCAGTGAAAAGATACAAAATTTAACCTTGCCCTTTGACCCAATGACCTTGACCTTTGGTCAGTTGACTCTTTGTTTAAATCTGATCTACTTTGCTTCATCATGTCTTAACAAAATTTGCATCAGTGAAAAGATGCAAAATTTGACCTTGACCTTTCAATCTAATGACCTTGACCTTTGGCCAGTTGACTCTTTGTTTAAATCTGATCTACTTTGCTTCATCATGTCTTAACACAATTTGCATCAGTGAAAAGATGTAAAATTTGACCTTGACCTTTGAACCTAATGACCTTGACCTGTGACCTCGACTTTTTACCTCAATGTGTATTTTTGTGAACTGAACATCTTGACCAAGTTTCATGTACATTGGTCAATAAATACTAAAGTTATAAGCCAGAAACAAAATTTGTGGACGGACAGACAGACAGACAGAGTGATTTCTATAGGGCACCCGTATCTCCGATACGGGGCCCTAATAAAACATGCACAACTAGGGATCAAGGGGAACCGTACATATCAAATTTGATAAAAAAAAACTCTGGTACTTACTGAGAAATAATGACAACAAGAATTGTTTAAGGACAGACCACAGACGCAGGGTTATTTGAATAGCCCACCATCATCTGTTGGTGGGCTAAAAAAGATATGTATTTCAAACAAGAGTATTCCTGTATTTCTGATGATTTAACTTACCTGTTGTGTGAAGCGTCTTGTGAAGAAAGGCATCAGGTATTTAGCATCAAACCTGAGAAATCCCTTCAATTGAGGTTTGCTTGTAAAACTAACTTCGTATTCCTCCTCTGTTAACTCAGACAGAAGCTCTGAGTCGACAGCATCACCCTGGAAAGGGAAAAAACGGGGTAATAAATGGTTGCCGCAGGATTGGAAACAATGCTTAACATTTAATTATTTCAATGGTAGGAGACATGATAGCTAACTTGTATGATACCATACCGGGGTACAGAACTAATCGACGAGGTGTATTTCAGTTCTTGTGTAAATGATGTCCGATACATGTACTAGTACCAAACCTGTGATTGATATTTCGTCATTCCCTGGTCACACCTATTTCACAGCTGATGGTCATTTTTGAAATATATGTTTCTTGTATACAGTATAACACTCATTTTTACTGCATTTATATTTATTGTAAAACACTCACATTTAATTTTGTATAACACTCATATTTACTGTATAGCACTAATATTTACTGCATAACACTCATACACTTGTAATTACTGTAAGGTATATTTACTGCATAACACTCATACACTTGTATTTACTGTAATGTATATTTACTGCATAACACTCATACACTTGTAATTACTGTAATGTATATTTACTGCATAACACTCACCTGGTAATGATATAAGTAAATATGTACCATTTCCCAGGTAATGATATAAGTAAATACATACCATTTCCCTGGTTTTACTCAGTGAGACCTCCACAGCAGTCTTACTCTTCTTTTTCTTTGTTTTGTTTGCATTAAGTAGCTACAATACAATAACCAATCAGTCAATCACTTCATTTTTGTTAATTATCATTCAGGATTTGAATTAGTCAATGGAACAGTAAAAGATAAATGAATTCTCTTTTGCTTAAATATAAAATCAGTACTGAGACATACCTAAATTAACTTAGGATCAACCCAAAACATAATTCTGCTCCGAAAAAAACAAATGGTTTTCACTAATTTGCATTTGTCATTACATTTGTAATTCATAACTGTATCACTACCTGGTAATACACATTTCTTTGTCAGACAGAAAGGCATTCCATCAGTTATAACTAGTAACATCCTGATAAGATGTGTCGCACTGCTAGAAAACAAGTGAATTTTAGAAAGTTATGGGAGTTAGAAGGACCCTTTTACTGTGAAATCATTCATTTTCGTTGTTTTTTTAATTTCCTTAATTTCTTGGTTTATCTTCATCAATGAATTCTCAGGTCTACGAAGTAATAACAAGTTTGATATAGAGCAATTATCCGTAAGAGTGGGTACTTGTAATCCACAAATTCTTAACCCACGAATTATTCGGAATAGGTGTTTTGTCAGGAAACAACAAAATTTCGGCCCCCCAAAAAAAGCTGATTTTACTGTAATAATATAAATAATCCAAGAACAGTTGATGTAAAGTCAGGTATTTGGGAACACTTTCATGGTACACAAACCTTCATCATGGGCATAGTGGCGCCCCCTAGGAACATGACGGTGAAGAGGACAATAATCAGAGTAGATGTTACTAAAACGTAGCGCTTCTCGGGAGAAAATTCCAGGTGAAGGCTCAAGGCAAATGCAATGGCACCTCGTAACCCTGTCAACAGAATTTATACGAAAGTCAATACAAAACAGCACCTCGTAACCTTGTCAACAGAATTTATACGAAAGTCAATACACAATGGCACCTCGTAACGCTGTCAACAGAATTTATACGAAAGTCAATATACAATGGCACCTCGTAACCCTGTCAACTGAATTTATACGTAGGTCGATACACAATGGCACCTTGTACCCCTGTCAACATAATTTATACGTAGGTCGATACACAATGGCACCTCGTACCCCTGTCAACAGCATCTCGTAACCCTGTCAACAGAATTTATACGAAAGTCAATACACAATGGCACCTCGTAACCCTGTCAACAGAATGTATACGTAGGTCGATACGCAATGGCACCTCGTACCCCTGTCAACAGAATTTATACGTAGGTCGATACACAATGGCACCTCGTACCCCTGTCAACAGAATTTATACAAAAGTCGATACACAATGGCATCTCGTAACCATGTCAACAGAATTTATACGAACGTCAATACACAATGGCATCTCGTAACCTTGTCAACAGGATTTATACGAAAGTCAATACACAATGGCACCTCGTAACCCTGTCAACAGAATTTATACGAAAGTCAATACAAAACAGTATTTCCTAACCCTGTCAACAGAATTTATACGAAAGTCAATACACAATGGCACCTCGTAACCATGTCAACAGAATTTATACGAAAGTCGATACACAATGGCATCTCGTAACCTTGTCAACAGGATTTATACGAAAGTCAATACACAATGGTACCTTGATCATAACCCTGTCAACTGAATTTATATGTAGGTTGATACACAATGGCACCTCGTAACCATGTCAACAGAATTTATACGAAAGTCGATACACAATGGCATCTCGTAACCTTGTCAACAGGATTTATACGAAAGTCAATACACAATGGCACCTCGATAATAACCCTGTCAACTGAATTTATATGTAGGTCGATACACAATGGCACCTCGTAACCATGTCAACAGAATTTATACGAAAGTCGATACGCAATGGCACATCGTAACCCTGTCAACAGAATTTATTACGAAAGTCAATACAAAACAGCATCTCTTAACCATGTCAACAGAATTTATACGAAAGTCAATACACAATGGCACCTCGTAACCATGTCAACTGAATTTATACGTAGGTCGATACACAACAGCACTTCATAAATTCATCCTATCCTTGTCAGCAGTGTTCATATATATGTTTGTACTCATGATCATGCAATAGTTGAATACCATTTAGAATAGGAATCAGTCAATAGAATCTCATGTTTTATCCTTCTTTCTTGTTAAGATAGTTCAAACCTAGAACAAAATACTTTTTCCACCAATAAAAACATAGAAACCTAAATTTACTCTTGTAAATCATGTTTATCACCAATCTTATCAAAATTACTTCAAAGTAACACCAATTAAACCTAGATAACAGTTTTATCACCAGTAAATGTTCAGGTCAGTATGATGAGAGCAGCATATTGGTTACAGATTTTTACAAACAAATATGCAATTTACTGAATCTCAACAGAAAGTTTGCTTTTTGATGGCTTTATACAGGAAAGAAAGAAAATCGTTAACATTAGAAAAAGTGCTGAGGGTATTAAAAACACCAACTTACCACTAAACCACATGATAAACTGCATCTTTCGTGTTATCTTGTGTTCACGGAAGTAATTGAGCAGGAAGGACAAAGGAAATATATTTAAAGCTCGACCAAACAGAATCAAGACCTGAAATAAACAGAAAAAAATAATTATAAATGGACAGAAACACTGAATTTGTTCCACTCATTTTCTGTAGCTATCACTAACCTGTTTAATCTCATTTAATAGGAATTCAATTATACAAAAGGTAATGGACGCAGGCATTGAGGGCCTCTATATCCATATCTTATACCATTACAATGTACATATAATATTATCTGTCTCCATATCTTATACCATTACAATGTACATATCATATTATCTGTCTCTGCCAGCCATCTGTTTGTTACTAGCCTCTATATCCATATCTTATACCATTACAATGTACATATCATATTATCTGTCTCTGCCAGACATCTGTTTGTAACTAGCCTCTATATCCATATCTTATACCATTACAATGTACATATAATATTATCTGTCTCTTCCAGACATCTGTTTGTTACTAGCCTCTATATCCATATCTTATACCATTACAATGTACATATAATATTATCTGTCTCTGCCAGACATCTGTTTGTAACTAGCCTCTATATCCATATCTTATACCATTACAATGTACATATAATATTATCTGTCTCTGCCAGACATCTGTTTGTAACTAGCCTCTATATCCATATCTTATACCATTACAATGTACATATAATATTATCTGTCTCTGCCAGACATCTGTTTGTAACTAGCCTCTATATCCATATCTTATACCATTACAATGTACATATAATATTATCTGTCTCTGCCAGACATCTGTTTGTAACTAGCCTCTATATCCATATCTTATACCATTACAATGTACATATAATATTATCTGTCTCTGCCAGACATCTGTTTGTAACTAGCCTCTATATCCATATCTTATACCATTACAATGTACATATAATATTATCTGTCTCTGCCAGACATCTGTTTGTAACTAGCCTCTATATCCATATCTTATACCATTACAATGTACATATAATATTATCTGTCTCTGCCAGACATCTGTTTGTAACTAGCCTCTATATCCATATCTTATACCATTACAATGTACATATAATATTATCTGTCTCTGCCAGACATCTGTTTGTAACTAGCCTCTATATCCATATCTTATACCATTACAATGTACATATAATATTATCTGTCTCTGCCAGACATCTGTTTGTAACTAGCCTCTATATCCATATCTTATACCATTACAATGTACATATAATATTATCTGTCTCTGCCAGACATCTGTTTGTAACTAGCCTCTATATCCATATCTTATACCATTACAATGTACATATAATATTATCTGTCTCTGCCAGACATCTGTTTGTAACTAGCCTCTATATCCATATCTTATACCATTACAATGTACATATAATATTATCTGTCTCTGCCAGACATCTGTTTGTAACTAGCCTCTATATCCATATCTTATACCATTACAATGTACATATAATATTATCTGTCTCTGCCAGACATCTGTTTGTAACTAGCCTCTATATCCATATCTTATACCATTACAATGTACATATAATATTATCTGTCTCTGCCAGACATCTGTTTGTAACTAGCCTCTATATCCATATCTTATACCATTACAATGTACATATAATATTATCTGTCTCTGCCAGACATCTGTTTGTAACTAGCCTCTATATCCATATCTTATACCATTACAATGTACATATAATATTATCTGTCTCTGCCAGACATCTGTTTGTAACTAGCCTCTATATCCATATCTTATACCATTACAATGTACATATAATATTATCTGTCTCTGCCAGACATCTGTTTGTAACTAGCCTCTATATCCATATCTTATACCATTACAATGTACATATAATATTATCTGTCTCTGCCAGACATCTGTTTGTAACTAGCCTCTATATCCATATCTTATACCATTACAATGTACATATAATATTATCTGTCTCTGCCAGACATCTGTTTGTAACTAGCCTCTATATCCATATCTTATACCATTACAATGTACATATAATATTATCTGTCTCTGCCAGACATCTGTTTGTAACTAGCCTCTATATCCATATCTTATACCATTACAATGTACATATAATATTATCTGTCTCTGCCAGACATCTGTTTGTAACTAGCCTCTATATCCATATCTTATACCATTACAATGTACATATAATATTATCTGTCTCTGCCAGACATCTGTTTGTAACTAGCCTCTATATCCATATCTTATACCATTACAATGTACATATAATATTATCTGTCTCTGCCAGACATCTGTTTGTAACTAGCCTCTATATCCATATCTTATACCATTACAATGTACATATAATATTATCTGTCTCTGCCAGACATCTGTTTGTAACTAGCCTCTATATCCATATCTTATACCATTACAATGTACATATAATATTATCTGTCTCCTCCAGACATCTGTTTGTTACTAGCCTCTATATCCATATCTTAAACCATTACAATGTACATATAATATTATCTGTCTCTGCCAGACATCTGTTTGTTACTAGCCAAATGATTGTATTTGAGCTCTACGTTTTGCCAATGTTTGTCTAAATGGATTTCGAGGTGTCTTATAGTTGCTGAATTTATGCCATATTCAGGCAGACCGTTCCAAATACGGATAGTTCTGAAACCAAATGAGTATTTTCTAACATCTAGTCTAGGTTTTTTTCTTTAATTTCTGTGTGTGCCATCTCATTCTTGATCACATTTTATGGTTAAAAATTCCAGACGTTACTATTACATCGTAAAAGTCTACGGTATGTGAGGAATGGAAATCCTAATCTTTCAGACAACCACTGTATGGTAGGTCCTTTAGCCCAGGTATCAGTTTCTGTATCTCCTCTCAGTCTAGGGTATGTGAGGAATGGAAATCCTAATCTTTCAGACAACCACTGTATGGTAGGTCCTTTAGCCCAGGTATCAGTTTCTGTATCTCCTCTCAGTCTAGGGTATGTGAGGAATGGAAATCCTAATCTTTCAGACAACCACTGTATGGTAGGTCCTTTAGCCCAGGTATCAGTTTCTGTATCTCCTCTCAGTCTAGGGTATGTGAGGAATGGAAATCCTAATCTTTCAGACAACCACTGTATGGTAGGTCCTTTAGCCCAGGTATCAGTTTCCTTGCTCTACGCTGCACTTTCTCGATTGATTCTATGTCTTTATGGTGAGATTTCTTCACAACAAAAAAAGTCAACTTATCTAAGAAGAAATGTGCTACACTAGTTGTTACACATGATTTTACAAACAAAAGAAATCCTAGCTTCTTTATCTGATCTTCATTTGATTGGAGGTAGATATGGAAAAAATAATTATTCTGAGATTAAACAGACAATCCTGGAGACAACACTTACAATGCTCCATATCACAAAGGCAGGCTTCACTATGAGCTTGAAACTGAAAAATGCCAGACCCAGGTAGGCAAACACACAGGTTTCTGAAATTTTAAGAAATTTGTGATTAAAAACAACTGTAACAACTTTGCCTAGCTTAAGAGTTGCAGATTTTGTGATAGTTTTAATTTTACATTAAACATGTATTTCCCAATGACTTAAGTAGCAGACATCCAACATATATATGTACATGTTGTATTAACAAACTTTTAATGGGAAATTGAAAGTCAACAATGCCATGTATCTGTGATGGTTCTAAATGTCTGCTTTGACCTAGAATGTATCTGCCAAGAACGTGATGGCTGTGAATACTTGCTGTTACTCCCCTGCCATGAAAGCGATGGTTTTTAATATGTTATGACTTACCTGCCATGAAAGCGATGGTTTTAATATGTTATGACTTACCTGCCATGAAAGCAATGGTTTTTAATATGTTATGACTTACCTGCCATGAAAGCGATGGTTTTAATATGTTATGACTTACCTGCCATGAAAGCAATGGTTTTTAATATGTTATGACTTACCTGCCATGAAAGCGATGGTTCTGAACGTCTGCTGGGTGGTGATCTGTGTGACCGGGGACAGGTTGAGATGGGTATAGTGGGACATCACGATACCAGTACTAAGTATAGCCATGATGCCTGAAACAGCAAAGATACAGGAGTGTTGAGAATAAGATTCTTCAGTTTGGTATATGAATTTCGTTTCGTTTGTAGTGTAGTTCTTAAACTCGTGCTACAGGTGTAGTGTAGCACTTCGCACGTGCATTTAGTGTGTATTAGCATTCGGCGAGATCGTTCACAGCAGTACGGACGTGTATTTTACCTGTACACTGTATGACTAAAACAAAATGAACATTGACAAAGAGGGTAGCTCAATTGAGCCTACATGTACCAGGCAGGATTCTACGGTGACCCTTTCCACTGCTGATGCCCTGTCCCTTTTTAGCTCTAGGCTGGATATCGCACTGAGTTCTCACCGTTCCCTCATTTCGTCCGACATTGACAAAAACTTCAAAGTCAGGAAAAACTTTTGGCAGCGAATAAGTCAGACTTTAAATTTAAATTTGAAGGGAACCGTAAACAGTTTGTCTTTAACTCTGAGATAAGACTGGACATTTCCAAAGCTATTCAAGCTATTAAAGACGATAATAGCGAATTAGCAGAGTCGACGCTCACGATCTGTCTCGCTCATTTAGACGAGAGGAATAAGATTGTTAAGATAGCGGACCGTCATGGTTGGGACACGGTTGCTGAGTACGAAGATGACCCTATTTGTGACGACGCTGATGATTCTTCTAAGTTGCGTCAGGCTGAGGCCAGAGCACAGAGGAAACGGAAGGCAAAATCTGCTAGCCGTAATACGAATAAGCCGTATGAACGTCCAGGTCTTGGGCGGGGAAGCGGAGGCAACACGGGGAACGTCGATCTTTTTCGAGGCTTTCAAAGTACTGGAGAAATGGGAGAGTTCCCTTTCTACGCCCAAAGAGGAGCGGTTAACGGAAGTATGCCTGGAGCGCCCGGGGGTTTCCATCCCTCCTCAGCAGGACCGGTCAACAAACAAAACTCGACCTGTTTCTACTGCTACGGGGCCGGACACTGGGCCAGCAACTGCCCGAGGAGAGTCAGAACCACCCCAACCCACACCCAGAGTGTCCCCGCAATCAAACAATGAAGATCAGAAGATGGTAAGCTATCATTTGAATGAAGTCGTATCTGTAAAAAATACGTTTGTAAATCAAAATGGATTTGTTAAAGGCAGTCTCAAATCTTGTCTGAAGTTTTGGAAAACATGTCTAAAAGCTAGGGATTATGTCTGTAGTGTAGTTGAATATGGGTATTTAATTCCGTTTATTGTGGAACCTGAGTCGAAAATAATGAAAAATAATAAGTCGGCGCTTACGCATAGTACTTTTGTCAGTGACGCTATTTCTGAATTGCTCGCGAGCGGTGTAGTAGATGAGTGTGTGTCGCCTCCCTACGTAATTAACCCACTGTCGGTTTCTGTTAACAGTAAGGGCAAGAAAAGACTTACTTTAGATCTAAGATACGTCAATCAGTATGTAGCAAAACAAAAGTTTAAACTAGAGGGTAACAGAGAAGCACTAGAATACGTACAACAGGGTTTTTTCGGATTTAAATTTGATTTAAAGTCAGGATATCACCATACTGAAATGCATCCAGATCACATAGAGTTTTTGGGGTTTTCTTGGACAGTTGGAAATATTTACCGTTTGGCTTGTCTTCGGCGCCACATATTTTTACGAAAATGTTGAGGCCTCTAGTCAAAAAGTGGCGGTCGGAAGGTCACATGATGATCGTTTACCTTGACGACGGGTTAGGAGTTGCCCAGTCAATTTCTGCTGCGAAAACTTTATCTGATATGGTTCGTTCCTATTTGTTGCACCGAATCATGAGAAAAGCGTCTGGACGCCAGTACAGAAATTAGAGTGGCTAGGTTTCATATGGGACTTTGTAGGCGGTGTAATAGAAATAAGTGTCTGTAAAAGATCTGAGATTAAAAACTTGGCTAATGAGCTAATCGGTGAGACGAGCGCAGTATCCGCGCGTGCCGTAGCTGGTTTTACAGGTAAGGTCATATCCGTGTCGCTTAGCCTGGGACGCGTATGTAATTTTCATACGAGGGAGTTACACAAGTGTATATGTCACCGTACCTCTTGGGATTCGCCGATGTGCCTGTCAGATCAAGCTTTGCATGAGTTGCAATTTTGGGAGCTAAATGTCCTCAGTTTACCTCCGAGTATATTCAACCTTAACACACACGCAATTGACCACGATCTTCATATCTTTACTGACGCTAGCGCTATCGCGGGCGCAGGCTACTGTGTTGAGCTAAACGAGCACATCTCTCACGTCATGTGGAATAAAGATGAGTCCGGGCAAAGTTCTACTTGGCGAGAAATTAAAGCAGTAGAGCACACTTTATTAAGTTTTGGACAAATTTTGGCCAATAAATCGGTGTTACTTTGCACCGATAACCAGAATGTGCCCCGTATATTAGAGAGGGGAAGCATGTGTATTCACTTACACAGGATGGCAGTGAGCGTGTTCGAATTCCTCAAATCAAATAACGTGTCTTTGTATATACAATGGATTCCCAAGGGATCTTATGTTTTAGCTGATCAGTTTAGTAAGATCTTTGATTTTGACGATTGGGCAGTAGAAGAGAGTACATTTTTGTATTTTGATAGAATATGGGGCGAATACACCTGTGATCTTTTCGCAGATAACAACAACAAAAAAGTCACGTGTTTCTTTTCAAAGTACGCTTGCGTAGGTTCAGCTGGAGTAAATGCGTTTGATTTTGATTGGTCCAAATTTAACTGCCGGGCGGTTCCACCCATTTACCTTATCGCTAGAACTGTCAATCATTTCCTGAGGTGTAGATCGCACGGGACTTTGGTCGTGCCTCATTGGCCATCGGTGGCCTTTTGGCCTTTGTTGTCATTCAGGGGTGGTAAATCATTCAAGCCGTTTGTTATGGAATGTGCTTATTTTGTAAAAAAACGCCAGTTTTTTCCGTGCAGGTTCCCACTCTGAAAGTATTTTTGCAGAGAAAGTCTTCCATTCCAACGTGTGTGTTTTAAGAATAGATTGTCGTTAAAAAAAAAAAAAAAAAAAAAGTGTAGACATATTATCTGCGGCGTCGAGTACCCGTACAGTTTTATACATTCACATTACTATAGATTTTGTGTAACGTTAGGTTACTATAGTCAATGATTATCACTTCAGTGTAAAATTATTAAGTGTAGTAGGTGGTTATCATCTTTATGTACAGTTATGGTTGTATAAACCAGTGGTTATCCCTTCAGTGAAAATTTATTTAGTGTAATAGGTGGTTATCACCTGTATGTACCGTCATGGTTGTATAAACCAGTGGTTATCACTTCAGTGTAAATTTATTTAGTGTAATAGGTGGTTATCACCGTTGTGTTACACTGGCATTTTTTAGTTTTGTGTATTCGGTGGTTATCGGATTAATGTAACATTACAACTAGACAATTGTTAGCACATTTTGCAGTTTCATTAATTAGCGGAGTTATGAGGGTTTACTGGGTTAAGAATTTTTGAAAAGATATAGACAATCCACAACGTTAGTAAGCTAAGTTTCAGATNAGGTTGAGGATATGAAAGGCCATCCTTTGCTTTGTGAAGCAGCATCTAAATTGGAATCTGTGTTAAAGGCCAGCCATGCTTCTTCTACAGACAAGCAATACTGTTCGAATTTCGCTAAATTTAAAGATTGGTGTCGTATTACAGGCCTGGGATATCTGCCCTCTAGAAGTAGTACAGTAGCCGTATATTTGTCTTATTTGGTTCAACAGTCAGTCTCGGTATCTACCCTTAATTCACATTTCTATAGCATAAAGTGGCAACATGATTTCGCAGATTTGCCTAATCCATGTACAGACAAGTTTGTTTTAAAATCTTTAGAAGGAGCTAAACGTATTCTTTCTAAGCCTATTTTTAAAAAATCTCCCATTTCTGTGGAACATATAGAGTCCATTTTTAGAAAGTACGGAAACTCGGAAAACGTTAAGGATTTACGGTTATGCACTTTGTGCATTTTAGGATTTGCAGGGTTTTTCAGATTCAGTGAACTAGTCGATTTAAAAATGTCAAATTGCGTTTTGAAAAGTTCACACCTTGAAATTACACTTGTTCATAGCAAAACAGATGTCTATCGTCAAGGCAACGTTGTGGTGATTGCGAAAACAGGGAAGAAAACTTGTCCAGTTGCTTGTTTTGTGAAATACATTACAGCTGCCGGGTTAAGTTTTGGTGCAGATTCATACATTTTCAGAGCTGTTTCCTTTTGTAAATCTACAGGAACATATAAGTTATGTAGTCGAAATCAAGATCTTTCTTACACTAGAGTTAGAGAGATTTTTCTGGGCGCAATTTTGGAAATTGGACTAAAAAAGTCAGAATTTGGTCTACATAGCTTATGGGCTGGTGGCACCACTATAGCCGCTAACAATGGCATTTCAGAGAGATTATTTAAAGCACATGGCAGATGGGCCAGCGAGAAAGCAAAGGATGGTTATGTTTTGGATGATCTTGATCATAAAATTTCTGTTTCCGCTAATCGTGGCATTTAAAATTTTATTCCTTTGATGTTCGAAATATTGCTGTACACGAATCTCGCAGGCTATTAAATTGTAAAAACAATTGTTTGGTTTATATTATTATTGCTAAATAGATACGAAATGATTTATGTACGGATGAGGAACGAAGGAGAACATAAGAATAATTTAGTTTAAGTCTTTTTTTAACACAAACAGGACTTGTTAACTTATTTTGCAGGCTTTGAAGAAAATCTGGATCCTTTGTTAAGTAAAGAGTGTAAATGACCAATGTCTCGACTCTAAACCGCTGAAAGTATTAACTCACTAAGCCACAGTGTGCGGAATCAGTAAAGTCAGCAGTCAAAAATCATAGACATTTTGCTCAATTGCACTCTAATACTGCAGGCAGTCTGGACACCTGAGGAGGAAAGTTCCGATTAGATCCAAGGATATAGTAGCTAACTATCTAGAATACACTCAAATCAACTTTCATCATTTGAATTTGCATAAAAACTGTAATGACATTCCATAACGTGAAACTTGCATGACCAAGTGTAACAACAATCAACATTAAACTTTTAACTTTGAAGTATCAACTTTCAAGTTTAGATCCTGTCTTCTGCAAATGGAAATACTAATTAACCCCTAAATTAATATTTCGTTGACATAGATTAAGTACCTTTAAGAACAACACAAGTTATTTATTAATCAGAGGTTTGATATCTACCTGATAGATGGACGTCCCTCGGCCAGGACGTACGGCAGGTAAGTTATTAATCAGAGGTATGATATCTACCTGATAGATGGACGTCCCTCGGCAAGGACATACGGCAAGTTAGTTATTAATCAGAGGCATGATATCTACCTGATAGATGGACGTCCCTCGGCAAGGACGTCAGCAGGTAAGTTATTAATCAGAGGCATGATATCTACCTGATAGATGGACGTCCCTCGGCAAGGACATACGGCAGGTTAGTTATTAATCAGAGGCATGATATCTACCTGATAGATGGACGTCCCTCGGCAAGGACGTCAGCAGGTAAGTTATTAATCAGAGGCATGATATCTACCTGATAGATGGACGTCCCTCGGCAAGGACATACGGCAGGTTAGTTATTAATCAGAGGCATGATATCTACCTGATAGATGGACGTCCCTCGGCAAGGACGTCAGCAGGTAAGTTATTAATCAGAGGCATGATATCTACCTGATAGATGGACGTCCCTCGGCAAGGACATACGGCAGGTTAGTTATTAATCAGAGGCATGATATCTACCTGATAGATGGACGTCCCTCGGCAAGGACGTCAGCAGGTAAGTTATTAATCAGAGGCATGATATCTACCTGATAGATGGACGTCCCTCGGCAAGGACATACGGCAGGTTAGTTATTAATCAGAGGCATGATATCTACCTGATAGATGGACGTCCCTCGGCAAGGACGTCAGCAGGTAAGTTATTAATCAGAGGCATGATATCTACCTGATAGATGGACGTCCCTCGGCAAGGACATACGGCAGGTTAGTTATTAATCAGAGGCATGATATCTACCTGATAGATGGACGTCCCTCGGCAAGGACGTCAGCAGGTAAGTTATTAATCAGAGGCATGATATCTACCTGATAGATGGACGTCCCTCGGCAAGGACATACGGCAGGTTAGTTATTAATCAGAGGCATGATATCTACCTGATAGATGGACGTCCCTCGGCAAGGACGTCAGCAGGTAAGTTATTAATCAGAGGCATGATATCTACCTGATAGATGGACGTCCCTCGGCAAGGACATACGGCAGGTTAGTTATTAATCAGAGGCATGATATCTACCTGATAGATGGACGTCCCTCGGCAAGGACGTCAGCAGGTAAGTTATTAATCAGAGGCATGATATCTACCTGATAGATGGACGTCCCTCGGCCAGGACGTACGGCAGGTAAGTTATTAATTAGAGGTATGAAATCTACCTGATAGATGGATGCCCTCGGCAAGGACATACGGCAGGTAAGTTATTAATTAGAGGTATGATATCTACCTGATAGATGGACGTCCCTCGGCCAGGATGTACGGCAGGTAAGTTATTAATCAGAGGTATGAAATCTACCTGATAGATGGATGCCCTCGGCAAGGACGTACGGCAGGTAAGTTATTAATTAAAGGTATAATATCTACCTGATAGATGGACGTCCCTCGGCCAGGACGTACGGCAGGTAAGTTATTAATTAGAGGTATGAAATCTACCTGATAGATGGATGCCCTCGGCAAGGACATACGGCAGGTAAGTTATTAATTAGAGGTATGATATCTACCTGATAGATGGACGTCCCTCGGCCAGGATGTACGGCAGGTAAGTTATTAATCAGAGGTATGAAATCTACCTGATAGATGGATGCCCTCGGCAAGGACGTACGGCAGGTAAGTTATTAATTAAAGGTATAATATCTACCTGATAGATGGACGTCCCTCGGCCAGGACGTACGGCAGGTAAGTTATTAATTAGAGGTATGAAATCTACCTGATAGATGGATGCCCCCGGTCAAGGCGTACGACAGATAGGTTACTAATCAGAGGTATGAAATCTATCTGATAGATGGATGCCCTCGGCAAGGGCGTACGGCAGATAGGTTACTAATCAGAGGTATGAAATCTACCTGATAGATGGATGCCCTCGGTCAAGGCGTACGGCAGATAGGTTACTAATCAGAGGTATGAAATCTATCTGATAGATGGATGCCCTCGGCCAGGGCGTACGGCAGGTACAGAAAGTTACTAATCAGAAGTATGATATCTACCTGATAAATGGATGCCCTCGGCCAGGGCGTACGGCAGGTAAGAAAACGCCAACATCATGCCAAACTCCAGGGACGGTGTCTTCCTCAAGTCAACAAACTTTAACAACTGACATTGGTCAAGGGAGATAACACTGTCTGTTTGTGCATGCTCTTACTCACAGTTGTTATATTCATTTTTGTTTTGTTCTCATATTTATAAAATCATTTTAATATTGTTGAGACCTCTTTTGATTATCTCGTAGGAAATAGTTACTTTTAAACAAATATTTCTAAACATCAACATTCCTGAATTTATCTAGTTGACACATAACTGTTTAGTGTTGGGGTATCAAGTATATAAATCTGCTTTGACTGAAATTAATTTTATTAGAAACATCACTTGGACTCTTTTCCTCAAACTTCCATTTGTCACTGACTGACTTAAAAGGATACCATAGCACTAACAAGGCCGAAGATAAAGCCAATGGCTGAGGAGGCGAGGAACATCACACAGAATCGCCCAACAGCAGTGAAAAAGGCATGTACACCACTGGTTACTACAACGCCAGGCTGGTTAAACTCCAACACCGTCCTACAAATACAGTCAACAACATCAGATCATACTTAAAGGTAGTATTCCACTGGTTACTACAACGCCAGGCTGGTTAAACTCCAACACCGTCCTACAAATACAGTCAACAACATCAGATCATACTTAAAGGTAGTATTCCACTGGTTACTACAACGCCAGGCTGGTTAAACTCCAACACCGTCCTACAAATACAGTCAACAACATCAGATCATACTTAAAGGTAGTATTCCACTGGTTACTACAACGCCAGGCTGGTTAAACTCCAACACCGTCCTACAAATACAGTCAACAACATCAGATCATACTTAAAGGTAGTATTCCACTGGTTACTACAACGCCAGGCTGGTTAAACTCCAACACCGTCCTACAAATACAGTCAACATTATCAAATCAAACTTAAAGAGTACAAACAAGGAAACATTCAACATCAAAACATAATATGATGCAATTTTTGACAATCTGCTATTAATTATCGAGTTATTTTTTAATTGTGTTTACGCAAGGCAACAGATCTCCTCGTGCCCAAAATGTCAACACCTGCGCTTACTGTGAGGCCTCATGCAGTCTTAATTACCAATGAGGCTTAATGTGATCTGATAAGCAGCTGCATGAATGTGTTTATGTAGTTTACCTTCATCACTGACCTACCTGGTTCATGCTGTCTTCCCAGCTTGACATTATTTTGTGAGGAAAAATCTTTGTTTTTTTTTCTCTCACAAAAGTGTCTGTGCCTTATAAATAAGCGCTAACAATACAGGAATATTTCAGGTAATTTTAAATCATATGTAATTTGACCTTACTTTGTGAGTACTATAGAGACGGCATCGTTGAGAACACTCTCCCCAAACACCAACATGTACAGGATAGGATCGATGTCCAGAGCATGGAAGATAGCCAGGGTGGCTACTGGGTCGACCGCAGATATCAGCGAACCAAACGCAAAGCTCTCCACTAAGTCCAGCTCATACGCTATCTTAGCCTGTATCAAAGATAAAAATATACCATTGTAATCACAGCTCTCCACCAAGTCCAGCCCATACGCTATCTTAGCCTGTATCAAAGATAAAAATATACCAATGTAATCATACGCTATCTTAGCCTGTATCAAAGATAAAAATATACCATTGTAATCAAAACTCTCCACCAATCCAGCTCATACACCATCTTAGCCTGTAGCTAAGATACAAAATATACCATTGTAATCACAGCTCTCCACTAAGTCCAGCTCATACACTATCTTAGCCTGTATCAAAGATACAAATATACCATTGTAATCATACGCTATCTTAGCCTGTATCAAAGACACAAATATACCATTGTAATCACACGCTATCTTAGCCTGTATCAAAGACACAAAATATACCATTGTATCAAAGACACAAAATATACCATTGTATCAAAGACACAAAATATACCATTGTAATCACACGCTAGCTTAGCCTGTGTCAAAGACACAAAATATACCATTGTATTAAAGACACAAAATATACAATTGTAATCATACGCTATCTTAGCCTGTATCAAAGACACAAAATATACCATTGTAATCATATGCTATCTTAGCCTGTGTCAAAGACACAAAATATACCATTGTATTAAAGACACAAAATATACCATGGTAATCATACACTATCTTAGCCTGTATCAAAGACACAAAATATACCATTGTAATCATACACTATCTTAGCCTGTATCAAAGACACAAGATATACCATTGTAATCATACGCTATATTAGCCTGTATCAAAGACACAAAATATACCATTGTAATCATACGCTATCTTAGCCTGTATCAAAGACACAAAATATACCATTGTAATCATATGCTATATTAGCCTGTATCAAAGATACAAAATATACCATTGTAATCATACGCTATATTAGCCTGTATCAAAGACACAAAATATACCATTGTAATCAATCAATTGAAACACACCAAATTGCCATCACCTAAATCAAAGATAATAGACATACACATTTTCAATAAGCTTGGGGAATTCTCTGATTGTCTAGCTATCTTATATTAAATAAATAAACAACCTCTAGAAATGTTACCCTAAACAGATCTGGTTTATACAGTAAAGATGATATACAGTACAGTCTCCTTATACTGTCCTTATATGTCCAGCAAAATATTGATAATATAAAAGAGTTTAGCGATAAATGGAAGGAAACAAAGAACAAGAGGATATGAAGGGTAAAGATGGGGTGTATTACATATGTATATCAAGTTTGATTTGTAACTGTTAATAATACCCTTTTGTTTACAGTGCAGACTCGACTGATCACATTTCTGTTCAGTATTAGTTCAGAAATCAATAATAAGGTAAACCATTAAAGGAATCACATTACAATACATAATAATTCCTCTTTCAATGGAATTCAATTGTCCATATAAAATCTGGTAACACATGGCCCTGATATTTATTACAATATATCTATTACTACAGCATCAGGATTGTTGTAGCTATTGTCATATCACAAATGACACATAGAAACTTGTGTACCAGCCACCTCAGCTATAAAATCAAATTACTTTGCCTGTATTACTTTACAATAATAACCATACAATAAGCGTGTAAAAGATGTGCATTGATTAGGTTGCCTTACAAGCATCAGCTGTGGGGAATTTCCCTTTAAGTCAGCGGTAGAACATCAGGCTGGAGAGCCAAGGGTCGCGGGTTCGAGCCCCAGCGACGACACCAACTTTATCACTATTCCTTATCCTACTACAAACGTACCATAAAAAATGTATGGACTCTTCAGCCATAAATGGCTTGAATGGGGAATGAGGGGTTGTTCTTTGCAAGTACTGCTAGAATACTATTGTTTGTCATTGTTTACAGTCTACCCATTTAAATGGTAGAAACAAGAGGCTCAATGAGCCTGTATTGCTCATCTTTTCTTTTGTAACCTGAACCAGACAAGATGCTGAATTATTGGGCTATTAGAGGATATTGTAAGACTTGTCAAAATCAGCCTGACAGAAATGAAAAAATGAAAAAATGTCTCAACCAATAAGATGCCAAGGCAGCCATCTTGAATTTTAGTTAAAAAAAAAACCCAACTCATTTGCACCAAAACAGGTTTTGTCCAATTTCTCTTATAGGGGGCCTGCTCCTCTGATCTAAGTATGGCAACCTCCTTAATTATACAACATTGAATACCTTTAACCCAAGGATGCTCATTGCTAAATGAGGTTTAAATTCATGCATCCAAAAAAAGGGATAGTCTTTTAAAGACTTAAACCCTCCTTCCTTATATGTGGTTTCAACCATCTGCCCCTAGGGGGCACCACTTTCATTTATTATATACACAGCATTGCATTTCCCTGGCCCCGGAATGCTTTATTACAAAATATGATTAGAAATTCCTTCATCTGTTCTTAAGAAGAGGACTTTTAATGATGCCTTGTACTTATTTTATTTTAAGGACTTAACAGTCTTTCCCTTTTCCCTGTTTGGCCCCATCCTTCATCCTCTATAATCTGCTTTAATATGAATTAATATGCTTCATTCTAGTTTAATGGTATAAAGTGTCATTGTTCTCAATGCAGAAACAATGAAATTATATCTAATCTAAAAACTTCTTACCTTAGGAAGGCCCTTGAGTGAACATTTGGGGCCAAATTACAGCCCTGGAGTAAACAGAGTCCCACATAAATAAGGGTGCCTATAAGTCTAGAAACCTTATTTCAGTTTTGTTATAAAACAAATTTTCTGGGCAAACGAGGCTCCACTTTATAAATGACAATGATATACTGACCCGTCCCAGTAGGTAGATACCGCCTCCTACTACCATGGCAGATATTACCGTCCCAAATATAGCAAATATCAGGATGGAACCGATGTTCTGGAAAAAGTTTCCCTGTAAGAAGAGACAAAAGGATCATCAGTTAAATCTGAGCTAAAAACATACAACTACTACAGCTGCAGAGTAGAAATCATTAATGCGAAAGAATGCATGTTCTTTTTGGGGTTTTTTTAAACTTAATATAAAATCTATGATTATACAAGCTAATACAATGTCATAGAAGAACTAGAATACCGAGTTACATACTCTCCTATTTAGGAGGGAGACTCCCTATTTTGTGACCCTTAAATTAAATATTTTCAACCTGTGAGTTTGCTAAACCTTTCCTTTATTCTAAGATATATTGATACCATCTGAAAGGGCAACTCAAAATATGTCATTTTAAAGGTTTTTTTGCCTCTAGCGGGTATATACACACATTCGTTTTACGTTTTTGATTTTGAGCATGTGGAATCTCCCCCATGTAAATTTCAAAAGGTTGGCAAGTATGGAGTCGAACAGTCCATATCAGTCCATATTTTTAAAATGTGTGATAGCTGTGTTTGTTATCAATATATATGTATGCTGACCACGCTGCCCTTCATCAGCACAACATCCTAATGATATGCTCTAACGTTTGATAACACCACGATCAATGATTATTCCTGGCACGATTTTATTAGATACACTGGGCACCAGCTGCTTCTACTGAAAATATCCGTACATTTACCAGTACCTGATTTGTGTGGTGTGTGACTTACATGTGAGTATACAATACTAAACACGAGGTTTGTTTTGAGCATGATGTTGCACTGACTGCTTGACAAAGGAAACAGAAGTTTTTGAAAGTTCCCAAAATAAGTTTTCAATTCCTGTTTGTGTTCAAAACAAACTTAGTCTTTATTATTCATACCAAACTGATGAATCTTATTCCGGAAAGTTACATTACTTTTTCTATATTATGATCAGTGTTCGACTTTCACATCACACATCATGTGATAAGACTTTTACCACCATCTTTTAAGTAAGCTGAGCAACAAATGAATAAAGTCAAAAGTTTTATGTCAGGGACATTACCAGTTCATTTATAAAAGTAGCTCAGAGAAATAAATCAACACTTTACCTTGTGTAAATTATATCCAGATTCAAATATAATTGGTGGCAGTAAAACGATGAAAAATATTGTAGGGCTAAAGGCTTCTTCATTCTGAAAATAAAACACCACACACTATAGACAATCTCAGGAAACAGAATACTAAATTGGTTCATTGTTCTCAGGAAATAAAAAGCTGCTTATTCAATATTGTAGAAAGTAGTAGCCTGACAGTAATAAAAAGATGCTTCCATTTTATTTACATGTACTTATTTTATCTTTTAACTTTTAACAAATTAACATATTGATGACATTTACATCCACACTATACACGATGGAAAACAATTAACAGAAACTTCAATTAATACCATCATAACTTAACACAATATTTATAGCATGTAAGGGACTAAAAGCTGGGAACAGCTCATACTTGACACTGACAGGTCTGTACCCTCATTACCAGACTGACACTGACATGTCTGTACCCTCATTACCAGATGGACACTGACATGTTTGTACCCTCATTACCAGATTGACACTGACATGTCTGTACCCTTATTACCAGATGGACACTGACATGTCTATACCCTCATTACCAGATTGACACTGACATGTCTGTACCCTCATTACCAGACTGACACTGACATGTCTGTACCCTCATTACCAGATGGACACTGACATGTCTGTACCCTCATTACCAGATTGACACTGACATGTCTGTACCCTCATTACCAGATTGACACTGACATGTCTGTACCCTCATTACCAGATTGACACTGACATGTCTGTACCCTCATTACCAGATTGACACTGACATGTCTGTACCCTCATTACCAGATTGACACTGACATGTCTGTACCCTCATTACCAGATTGACACTGACATGTCTGTACCCTCATTACCAGATTGACACTGACATGTCTGTACCCTCATTACCAGATTGACACTGACATGTCTGTACCCTCATTACCAGATTGACACTGACATGTCTGTACCCTCATTACCAGATTGACACTGACATGTCTGTACCCTCATTACCAGATTGACACTGACATGTCTGTACCCTCATTACCAGATTGACACTGACATGTCTGTACCCTCATTACCAGATTGACACTGACATGTCTGTACCCTCATTACCAGATTGACACTGACATGTCTGTACCCTCATTACCAGATTGACACTGACATGTCTGTACCCTCATTACCAGATTGACACTGACATGTCTGTACCCTCATTACCAGATTGACACTGACATGTCTGTACCCTCATTACCAGATTGACACTGACATGTCTGTACCCTCATTACCAGATTGACACTGACATGTCTGTACCCTCATTACCAGATTGACACTGACATGTCTGTACCCTCATTACCAGATTGACACTGACATGTCTGTACCCTCATTACCAGATTGACACTGACATGTCTGTACCCTCATTACCAGATTGACACTGACATGTCTGTACCCTCATTACCAGATTGACACTGACATGTCTGTACCCTCATTACCAGATTGACACTGACATGTCTGTACCCTCATTACCAGATTGACACTGACATGTCTGTACCCTCATTACCAGATTGACACTGACATGTCTGTACCCTCATTACCAGATTGACACTGACATGTCTGTACCCTCATTACCAGATTGACACTGACATGTCTGTACCCTCATTACCAGATTGACACTGACATGTCTGTACCCTCATTACCAGATTGACACTGACATGTCTGTACCCTCATTACCAGATTGACACTGACATGTCTGTACCCTCATTACCAGATTGACACTGACATGTCTGTACCCTCATTACCAGATTGACACTGACATGTCTGTACCCTCATTACCAGATTGACACTGACATGTCTGTACCCTCATTACCAGATTGACACTGACATGTCTGTACCCTCATTACCAGATTGACACTGACATGTCTGTACCCTCATTACCAGATTGACACTGACATGTCTGTACCCTCATTACCAGATTGACACTGACATGTCTGTACCCTCATTACCAGATTGACACTGACATGTCTGTACCCTCATTACCAGATTGACACTGACATGTCTGTACCCTCATTACCAGATTGACACTGACATGTCTGTACCCTCATTACCAGATTGACACTGACATGTCTGTACCCTCATTACCAGATTGACACTGACATGTCTGTACCCTCATTACCAGATTGACACTGACATGTCTGTACCCTCATTACCAGATTGACACTGACATGTCTGTACCCTCATTACCAGATTGACACTGACATGTCTGTACCCTCATTACCAGATTGACACTGACATGTCTGTACCCTCATTACCAGATTGACACTGACATGTCTGTACCCTCATTACCAGATTGACACTGACATGTCTGTACCCTCATTACCAGATTGACACTGACATGTCTGTACCCTCATTACCAGATTGACACTGACATGTCTGTACCCTCATTACCAGATTGACACTGACATGTCTGTACCCTCATTACCAGATTGACACTGACATGTCTGTACCCTCATTACCAGATTGACACTGACATGTCTGTACCCTCATTACCAGATTGACACTGACATGTCTGTACCCTCATTACCAGATTGACACTGACATGTCTGTACCCTCATTACCAGATTGACACTGACATGTCTGTACCCTTATTACTAGAGGGACACTGACATGTCTGTACCCTCATTACCAGATTGACACTGATATGTCTGTACCCCTATTACCAGATGGACACTGACAGGTCTGTACCCTCATTACCAGATGGACACTGACATGTCTGTACCCTCATTACAAGATTGACACTGACATGTCTGTACACTCATTACCAGATTGACACTGACATATCTGTACCCTCAATACCAGATTGACACTGCCATGTCTGTACCCTCAATACCAGATGGACACTGACATGTCTGCACCCTCATTACCAGATTGACACTGACATGTCTATACCCTCATTATCAGATGGACACTGACATGTCTGCACCCTCATTACCAGATTGACACTGACATCTCTGTACCCTCATTACCAGACTGGCACTGACATGTCTGTACCCCCATTACCAGATTGACACTGCCATGTCTGCACCCTCATTACTAGATTGACACTGACATGTCTGCCCCCTCATTACCAGATTGACGCTGACATGTCTGTACCCTCAATACCAGATGGACACTGACATGTCTGTACACTCATTACCAGATTGACGATGACATGTCTGTACCCTCAATCCCAGATTGACCCTGACATGTCTATACCCTCATTATCAGATTGACACTGACATGTTTGCACCCTAATTACGAGACTAACATTGATATGTCTGTACCCTTATTACCCGATTGACACTGTCATGTCTGTATCCTCATTACCAGACTGACACTGACATATCTGTACCCTCAATTCCAGATTGACACTGCCATGTCTGCACCCTCATTACCAGATGACACTGACATGTCTGCACTCTCATTACCAGATGGACACTGACATGTTTGTACCCTCATTACCAGATGAAAACTGACATGTTTGCACCCTCATTACGAGATTAACATTGACATGTCTGTACCCTCATGACCAGATTGACACTGACATGTTTGTACCCTCATTACCAGACTGGCACTGACATGTCTGTACCCTCAATTCCAGATTGACACTGACATGGCTGTACCTTCATTACCAGATTGACACTGGCATGTCTGCACCCTCATTAACAAGTTGACACTGACATGTCTTTACCCTCATTATCAGATGGACACTGACATGTCTGTACCCTCATTACCAGATGAACACTGACATGTTTGCACCCTCATTACGAGACTAACATTGACATGTCTGTACCCTTATTACCAGATTGACACTGACATGTCTGTACCCTCATTACCAGACTGACACTGACATGTTTGTACACTCATTACCAGATTGACAATGACATGTCTGTACCCTCATTACACCCTCATTACCAGATGGACACTGACATGTCTGTACCCTCATTACCAGATGAACACTGACATGTCTGTAAACTCATTACCAGACTGACACTGACATGTCTGTACCCTCATTACCAGATGAACACTGACATGTTTGCACCCTCATTACAAGACTAACATTGACATGTCTGTACCCTTATTACCAGATTGACACTGACATGTCTGTACCCTAATTCCCAGATTAACACTGACATGTCTGTCCCCTCATTACCAGATTGACAGACATGTCTGTACCCTCATTACCAGATTGACACTGACGTGTCTGTACCCTCATTACCAGATTGACACTGACGTGTCTGTACCCTCATTACCAGATTGACACTGACATGTCTGTACCCTAATTACCAGATTAACACTGACATGTCTGTACCCTCATTACCAGATTGACAGACATGTCTGTACCCTCATTACCAGATTGACACTGACATGTCTGTTCCCTCATTACCAGACTGACACTAACATGTCTGTACCCTCATTACCAGATTGAAACTGACATGTCTGTACCCTAATTACCAGATTAACACTGCCATGTCTGTACCCTCATTACCAGATTGACACAGACATGTCTGTACCCTCATTACCAGATGACCACTTACATTTCTGTACCTTCATTACCAGATGAACACTGAGATGTCTGTACCCTCATTACCAGACTGACACTAACATGTCTGTACCCTCATTACCAGACTGACACCAACATGTCTGTACCCTCATTACCAGACTGACACTGACATGTCTGTACCCTCAGTACCAGATTGACACTGACATGTCTGTACCCTCATTACCAGATGAACACTGACATTTCTGTACCTTCATTACCAGATGAACACTGACATGTCTGTACCCTCATTACCAGATGAACACTGACATGTCTGTAAACTCATTACCAGACTGACACAAACATGTCTGTACCCTCATAACCAGATGAACACTGACATTTCTGTGACTTCATTACCAGATGAACACTAACATGTCTGTACCCCCATTACCAGATGAACACTGACATTTCTGTGACTTCATTACCAGATGAACACTAACATGTCTGTACCCTCATTACCAGATGAACAGAGCCCTAGTGTAAACACTACCTTAGTTAAATCCTGTTACTTACCCTCCAGTTTCCTGCTTTAAATATCTTCAATACAAGGCCTATCAGTGCACCTGTTCAAATAACCAAATTAAAATAGGAATACTTATCACTAACACTGTCTGAAAAGCAGAAGCTTACCTTATTATATGTGATATAGATTTATCAACCAACTAATTAATAATAATAAAGACTAGAAAATATTTGTAAAACTTACATATACTCAACACTTTGATGGAAAATGATCTCACACTAAAGTCTAACCAAAGACAGCAAAATGGAAGATATCACAGCGCCATACATTTGATACATTAGTGTAGTACTCTTGAAGTAACTCAGCATCAGTGTTCTCCCCAGAATGTTTTGAAAGAAGCATGGTATTTCAATATTTCTGTTAAAGCAGCACTCTATGTAAAATCAAAGCAGCATGGTAACTTTAGATTTACTATGAATATATAGCAGAGAAGATCTAGGATAGCAGCATGGCAAGAAATTGTAGGAGCATGGTGCCATGCTGCAAATACAGCCTGGGGAGAACACTGAGCATATAAAGTTTGATCATCCTCAAACCTTTAACATTTGAGTAATGGAGCTAAATGAAAAGTCTAACATAGATTCCATACAGATGGATGGGCTGACAGGAAAGGCAAACGCTTTAAGCTGTGTGTATAAGGTTTAGTTTCATCATTAGCCTTGCCAGTATTATTCATATTTGTATATTTTACCTATTTTTGTCACTTCAGGTGTCACAATCAACACCTATAATTAACAGGTAGATTTGTAATTAACCTGCATCAGTGTAATCAGGTATCACAATGCACACCTATAATTAACAGGTAGTTTTGTATCTACCTGTGTGTATGCAACATCACAACCAACATCTTTATATAACAGGTAGATTTATAGTTTACCTTGTACAGGTGTAATCAGGTATTGTAATTAACATCTGCATATAACAGGCAGATTTGTATTTTACCTGTTTATGTTTCCTCAGGTGTCACAATTAATACCTGTATATAACAGGTAGATTTGTATTTTACCTGTATATGTTTCCTCATGTGTCACAATTAATACCTGTATATAACAGGTAGATTTGTATTTTACCTGTATATGTTTCCTCATGTGTCACAATTAATATCTGTATATAACAGGTAGATTTCTATTTTACCTGTTTATGTTTCCTTAGGTGTCACAATTAATACCAGTATATAACAGGTAGATGTGTATTTTACCTGTTTATGTTTCCTTAGGTGTCACAATTAATACCTGTATATAACAGGTAGGTGTGTATTTTACCTGTGTGTGCTCCGTCTGCTGGATAACAGAACTACTCGGTAGTGAAGCAGATATAAAACCAATCAATCAATCAATCAATTTACCTGTATATGTTTCCTCATGTGTCCCAATTAATACCTGTATATAACAGGTAGATGTGTATTTTACCTGTGTGTGATTCGTCTGCTGGATAACAGAACTACTCGGTAGTGAAGCAGATATAAAACCAATCAATCAATCAATCAATTTACCTGTATATATTTCCTTAGGTGTCACAATTAACACCTGTATATAACAGGTAGATGTGTAATATAACCAGCAGTATTATATACAATGGCAATAGTAAACTCTGTAACAACAAGCTGTAATGGTGAGGCTAAATGCTTAGTCTTTCAAAACAATCACCATAACAACGAATTTTATTTCTTTACACTCAGATGATGTTGGCAAACTGAATGATTCTACCAGCGACAGACTGTACTTACCAAGGAGGATGACTGCAATACTCTCTGGTAGATAGTGAAACTTGGTCGCCAGTAACATATGTACAATCAATATGGCGATGGCTGTAAGGAAAACAGAATATTGTATTATCATTATTGTTATGTAAATGAGTTTGGCAGCCAAAAATTCTACTTATCATGATGTGGATGTGTGTTACACTAATATGTATACTGATCAAGGTATAATATACTGATATTTATCTTATCTGTAGGATTCTAATGTTTTTAAATATATATATGATTTATTTATACAATATATATATATATCCCAGCTTATCTTCAAATCCAATATACTATATGCCTATGATAAAAAATAAATTTTATGTAAATATGTCTTGGTAACAGAACTAGATTATATCTTACGAATATTTTATTCAAATACTCAATGATATGATCTTAAATCACACTATCAAGTTTGTTTAGGAAATAATTCACTGAGTTATTCATTAAGAGGTTCTTGGGGCCTGTATTGTTTACTTGCTATATGATGCTGATGGTAGAATATATTTGATGCCAAGATGCTTGAGAAGTTTGAATTTATCAAGACATATATATGAACTCTGTGACCTTGGTCTTGATATCTTGATTGGACAATCTGATGATAACCCTGAAACTCCAGTAAACTGGTGACTTCAGACCTATAAAATAGTTCGTGGAAAGAAGTCATTTGAAGTTTTTAAATACACCTGACACCTGTGACCTTGAATGTTAGTTAAGGTCACTTAATTGAACAGAAAATAATCATTGTATTTTTTTGGAAAATACAACTGTTTGGATTGATCAGTATAAGGGTTGAGACCTATCTACTTCTACATCAAAGTCATTTATCTGTATTAAAAAAAAACATCAATTTTATCATTTTGACAAATTATTTCATCTTATACTTTGTGTTAAATTATTTTCAAAATGTTTCATACAAAAAACTTGAACATTTACCCCTTGAGTTACAACAAAACCTTGGAACACAATAATTAGTATGTGAATTGACATTTCTAGAATTTGCTTCTTATCAAACACAGACTAGTTTTCAAATTCATCGACTGGGTAAAGCCTGAACTTTTATACCCTTGCACAAATATTTCAATTCATTTTTCATTCACATTGTACATATCACTTACTTGGACTCTACTATCTCACAGTTGTAACACAAATATTTTAACAATGCCCTCACTTACAGAGACCAGATAAAATCTATGTCCAAAGAGGGAGCTGTGTTTAAATTAATTGAAACATCTTATAAGTGGCCTCCAGGTATCAGTTCTGTCAAACTAGCCTAGGCCTTGGGGCCCTACTTGTCCTACACAGCGTACATTTGTATATCTCGCCATTATCTGTCTACACAGAATACAGGTAATGACTGGGAAAGTGTAGTAATAAGGTCCTTAATGACTTTTTATTATTTTCCTGTAAACTTCAAGTGTAGAAGTTTTCTGTGACTTCCCGAGTCTTTTCAACTTAAGGATATATGAAACTTTAGTGTGATAAAAAAGAGTTCCCGACATATAATACTGAACAATCTGTTCATTGTCATTTTTTCAGGTTTCATACTTGCCAACTTTTTTTTTTAATTTCCATGGGGAAGATTAATAAGATGTGAGTATGTTTTAGATGCGTTTGAGCTGTTCTTTCAGATGAAATCATCAGATGTTAGAAAATAAGAATAGTTTAGCAAATTCACAGGTTGAAAACACTCAATTTCGAGGTCCAAAAGGAAAAGGAAGTTTGACAACTAGATTAAACATTTATTAAACCGATAAATCTCTAAACACGTTGCACAGTACCAACACTTCCTTGTCTCATACACATCTACAGGACTATACCATACAGTGTACACTTACCAACAACTAAAATGATGAAAAACAAGGTGAGGCTGCTGCTGTGCTCCTCCTCGTCTGCTCCGGCCCCGGGGAGAAAGGCCGGCTCCTCAGGCGTGGTCGTCTTCTGGGTGGTGGTAGATCTAGTTGTGGTATTGAGACCAGTAACATTGGACTGACTGTAAAATTATCACATAAAATACTGTACCAATATGTTTTTACCAAAGCATGCTAAGCACTCCAATGAAAGTGACACACACAGGTCCAACTTTTGGGTTTACATGCAAGATAAATACAACACGTAAGCGACAGAAATCACCCCAAAATTGTAAAACATCATTAAACATCAGGGAAAAAGAAAGATTTCTTCAATGTCTTCAAATGTAGATTGAATTTAAAATCGGGTAAAAATAAATATTTCACGCAATGTACATTGTCAACAAAAAGAACCCACAAATGCTTGAAAGAATGCAAATATGGGTCGTCTAAGGTTCAGGCTTCATTGCACTACTGGTGACTGAAGAAGTTAGCAATCACGGCTACTGAGGCACCTAAAACTCCATTTTGCACTCAACAAGACCCCTATATATAGCTAGAAGCACAAGTTTAATAGGCTGGTAAATATTTCCGCTGGGGCATCTATTTTAGTCCTGTCAATTGGACATGCAGTAGAATACATCAAATTCTTTTACTCTCACCACTCACAGTGGATGATATCAAAATGTCCATAACTTTGAATGACAATGAATATTAATGTAAGACAAGCAATGCACACTAAGTACAAAGGGGACATAACAACTAAGGAAGCACCCCATCACCAATGCTTGTTGTATAAGCTTGGTTATATGCCAAGTTTATTAATTTTCCTGTTTCATAAAAACTCCCTGGACGAACCTGATCTGCAGTGCTTGCTTATATATATGCCTGCGGGTGTATGGCCCATCTTCGCTTACCAAGGGTTATGATCAGGTCTAGTCTACTCACTCTTTGTGTACAGAGAGTGTAAGTGATCCAGTAGTTTTGTTACTTAAATTTTACAACAGCCTGTTCCTTTATGAATTGGGACATTATAGCATTATTTGTATTGAAATTGGGAATATATTCCTCAATTTTGGGTCATTTTGGGGAAAATAAGGCACTTTTTAGCAAGGGAAACAGCCTGTATTCGGCAGAAAAACTGAGTAAAAACAATTACTGTGATCGTATAGGTAACCCCTGGAATATCAAAGATGGGTATTGTCATGTTGGTTGATTTTCCTGTCCATGTTAACCTCATGTCTCTTTTTGAAAATAAACCAACTTGAGTTTGATAAACATGACAAACCTCCGTGTATAAACTAGCTATATAGGTAGTTTGTTGAATAAATATTGAATGAAACAACAAATCAGAGGCCCTCTCTACAAATAACTCCATGAAATTGTTCTAAATAAGCATCTGCTCTTACAATCCACATACATGTATGCCCCTATATTTGGTAGTGTATACATATACTACAGTGCATTTATATGGTTAAACTGAGGTTAAGTGTTTCAAACATTAATGAAATTGCTTTAACCAATTTACATATATTTTCAAAAAACTGCACAAAATGGCAATATTTACTAACTGCAAAAAGGATACCAAGATAGTACTCATTCAAGTTCCTAAAGCTATTTGTATACCCTTTTAATTTGATAAATGAATACTCTGTTAAAATTCAATACATCAAGACACAGTCAGAGACATTTGTAGGAATTCTGGTAAAAACTAACCATTTCCTAATAGCTGATTTGGCTTAAGCACAAACGCAGAGCATAAGACTAATAAGTCAACAGTCCCTGGTTTGATCCTAGTAGAGGCATTGCAATGAAAAATAGTTACTTCTGTTGCACATTATTTTAATTTTTCAAGGATAACATTTTAATTGAGTCCTAACCAAGATTATACTGTGATAATGAGCTCTAAGTATACAAACTTAATGTTCCTCCTCAGATAATAAACATGTAAGTACTGGAATGTTCTAGTGGTAAACAATGTTATAATGTCCAGAATAGGTTTTACATGCATGTAGTAAATGTGTACTTTTGTTCATATGTCAAACCCCACAGAATCTGTTACTTGCTTTATGTGAGCTGTATGGTCAAAAGTCTATTTGATCAGCTACTTTCATTATAATATTGACCACCAACATTGAACATCAATATACATATATATATATTTCTATGTTAAACACTACCTTCAAATACCAACTACATGTACATTAAATGACCAGCAACATGCAAAGCTGACTGATCTGAAATCCACCGATGTGCAAACTCATTTGACATGTTCCTTACGAAAAACACAGTGTGTTGATTTTTTAATGAGTGTATCGATCTTTCGCCTTCCAATAACATTTTTTCTAATCAATTCTTGTTTAAAAGACTAATTTACCTTTAACCAGTAACAGATAGATGACGGTTTTTGACTAGTTTTATTAGGCATAATCAAATTATGATGTTCACAGAATCATGTTACATTTTGAGTTCCATAAGAAAAAGATAGTTATTGGTTTTAATCATTATTATTACAACTTACAGGGTCAGCTACAGGTTGGTCACCTGTAGGTCAGAGTTAGATAAGATAAATTTCATTTAAAGTCGGTGGGCATTTAATTTTTTTTTTTAACAAACTTGCAGTGGCTATAAGATAATCAGACGTCATTGTTTAAAAGGTGCTTGATAGCTTGACTTTAAAAAACAAACTTGCAGAGGTATGAAAATATAAACTACAATAATATCATTCTACACCCGTGATTCTATTTGACACATTCTCAATGGGGTCCAATCCAGCCAGATAGGATGATTTAAATCAATACAACTAGGCATTCTTATATAAATGAACGTTAAGTACGTGCCTGTCGTTGGAGCTGGCAAGCAACTGTTCCATCTGCTTGCTGTTAACCGGGACATATTTGTGCTCGGGTTCATCATCAGGCAGAGCCTGTCCTTCCAAGATTAAAGTCGACGCATAGAATACGAGAATGGCGACAAAAGCGGCCCATAACGGTTGGTTCTCCATCTTGAACACGCAACTACTCGTAAGGTTTGTAGATAAGCGACTGATCTAAGTGTTGTATTCCATTGCGGCTAATATTGCACTCGTGTATGTTGACACGGGAAGTGACAGCTATCTAACCGGAAGTAGGTGATTTTTGCAGTAGCACCGAGAAATTGGTAAGAGGACATCAAGTACATTGGCCCCTAATTCGATAAAGTTGAATACAAGACATAAAGTAAATCACATAAATCGTATCCCTGGTAACTAAAACAATAGCCGGCCCAGTCCCGAAGAGTCATTTATTCCCCAAACACAGAGTTATTTGGTACAATTTTGCATGACCAATATCATAATGTGCTATGGGAAATTGTGAACCACTATTTAGTTCCTTTTGAATAAGTACCGACAATCGTTTAGTATACGTTACACTTGATCTGAAAGTTATATGTTTCAGCATATTCATAAATCCAATTTGACACATAATTGACATATTTCCACTCCGTGTCTTAATATTGACATTTTGTTCAATGTAACGTGACCAGCACGGGCATTATTTCCCGGACTCTTTTAGAATCAAACGTAACGTATGCAAAGGAACCTTACTCATATCTTTCAACCAGTTGAAACGGTTAAACCTGAAAGAAAACGATAGACGCAGATCTGAACCGAGTCTGACCTCAGGAATATTCGGCATGTGTAGAATAAGGGGTCCAGATGTGCCTTACCGAAACAAAAATGCTGAATGAGTTTGCGTTATTTCTTTATAAAACAATATGTCAATCCACATGTAGATTTTTAGATATGTTTTACATTAAGTGGACAAGTGAAAGAAGGACCTATTATTATTACAGGATAGGTGAATGCATCTATAGAAGGAGGTTGGTGAAATAGCTGTACTACTGTATTTTATACATGGATGTGTGATGTCCAATTTGCTGGTTTTAGGTAAAGGGAATTTCTCATAAACTCAGTGGCAGAGCTACTCCTATAACATACAAGAGGCCTACTCTCACCGTGTAAAACCTCTAACATTGTTGGAGTATGGGAGAGCCTGACCTAGACAGTTGGTGGTCGCTGGTGTATCGCCATAATAGGCACAGATCTGTTTATTACTCCTTTCTATTCTGGTGGCTGCTCATCCAAGGTTTCAGGTCGTTTCTCCCTAACTCCTGTACACCCTGTGTTCGTTCGCTCTAGGTTGTTTCGCCTTTTTTATAGCCTGTTTAGTTTTGTGTATGTGGCTAATACAGTCTCAATTAAAGTTTTCTTTATAGTCTTCATCGGAATTACATCCATTTCGCCCCAAGACCGTTACGCTCCAAACCAATTCGCCCCATTTTTTTTTTACATCGCCCCAATTTTCAGTTCAGTTACCCCCATGTATGACAACCATATCGCCCCAAATCCGTTTCGCCCCAAAATCTATATCGCCCCAAAAATTCTGTATCACCCCAACCGCTATGAACTTTTATCATATGTTTACTCAGAATATGAGTGTTTTTGCATATTTGATAACTTCTGACCACTCCTAATACCACTTCCGGTCACCCGTGTGATAAGTTTCTCTGTCAGTTGGTTTTTTGCTTAGACTGTGTTGAGCAGACGTCAACAAACAAAATGTCAACAAACCAGAGAGAGGAAATACTTAATTCTCTAGGGTCTAGAATACTTGAATTGGATGACCTCATTGATAAGGAATATGCGGAGCGATTTGAAACGATATTTATTCAGAATTGACGGAATATCATCTTGTAATAATCTGTTTCAGTTGACATTGTTGATTAAATTATCTAATTGTTTTTCCTGTTGACTTGATTTTTTGTTACTTGAACATATGATAAAAAGATTATAATATGACCATTTTGATATCATATCATATCATATAATAACCTCTAAATATTGAACTATAAAAGGCAGTTAATGGGAGGTAAGTCTTTCATTTCTTGTTTCGAATAAATTCGCGTGGAAATAATCTAATGATCTTAAACATTTATATCATCTGAAATATACAAATACATGCTCAGCATAGATAGTATAGATATGATACGTTGGCTACCTTCGGCAAAAGAAAAATCTAATTATCTTTTACATATACCTGAATATTATTGTACAAATATACATATATATAGAGAGAGAGATAATTATTAATTACTTACAACAACAACAATAACAAAACCAACTGTTATTAACAAATGATACAACATAATATAACACAAAGATATATATCTTTTCTTTGATATATATCGTGCACAATACATCACTTCATATTTCTGTGGATACATTTTCCTAACGTTGTTATTTTAATAACACCTGTCATCAATGCGGCGACACAAAATGTTCAGGAACCTCAGATCGTCGATATATGGGTTTGTTAGGTCATCTGAGACAAAGTCCAGCTTCTCCAAAACCCCTGAACCAATTTCAATGAAATTTTGCAGAAACCTTCCATGGCCAAAGGCCAACCAAAATTGTGAACTATATGGTCCCAAGCCCCCAGGGGCCTGAGGGGCCAAAAAGGGTCAAATTGACTAAAATTTTAAAAATCTTCTTCTCAAGATCCAGATATGGTAGAATCAAATACTCTTCATAGATGGAAGGGTCTTAAGGTGCTTTACCATAATTCAGCTGACTGACAATCACTATTTGTACATAGTACATATACTACCCAGATCTTTCACGCTACTTTTGCATTACATGTAGTTCAAGTTACCTTTGTTACAAAATGATTCCTTTTTCCTTTGGCAACATTGATAACATCAGTTTTTACATAACTCAGGTGACCGTTAAGGACCATGGGCCTCTTGTTGTTTGTTTAATAGCTACAGGCATCAAAGTTTGATGACAAGATGTACACATACCTAAAAGAAATATGTTCTTTATAATAGCACATGAAAACATGGATTTGTTTGTTTATTTTAAAGCCACACGTGTCAGTGTATGATAAAAGAATGTACACAATGCTACATTTCCGTAAGTCACATCTTATGGAAACATAAACTGAAAAAGAACATTAAAGGAAACATATCAATTTTACTATTCCAACTTTGCAAAACTAAAAATTATGTATATATATTTGATGCGCCGACCTTTCCGAAGTATACACGAAACAATAGTTATTCCCCTTAGCACGGTAAACACAATCACATAATAATGGGAAAATAAGCAAGCTCCTTTTTTTTAGGAATGGAGCATTATATTTTTGGTGGCGAACTAGTTGGGGCGTTATGTTTTTTTGGGGCGAACTATTTGGGGCGTATGCTTTTTTGGTGGCAAACTGGTTGGGGCGATACGAATCAAATTTGGGGCGAACTGGTTTGGGGCGTAATGGTTTGGGGGCGTAACGTCTGACACCCCTTTTTATACGCCCGTCAAATTTGACAGAAGTATAATATGCCATAATACTTCCGTCAAAAGTTTACGCCCTTGAACAGTACTGATTAGGTTCATCCTGACAATAGTGTACTGTTTGTTAAATATAGAAATCTTTACCAGTGGGGGACTATGGATTGCCTTGCAATACTTTGCCTTGTTTAATTGGTGGATCACATTTATTATATGTGATTATAAAAGGAATGTTTGGTGTAGCATCATTGTTTTTCCATTGAGTAATTGGTTTCTCTGATCACTCATTCTAAAGAAAAAATTTCCATTGAGTAATTGGTTTCTCTGATCACTCATTCTAAAGAAAAAATTTCCATTGAGTAATTGGTTTCTCTGATCACTCATTCTAAAGAAAATTGGAGGTAACCTCTACATTAAAATCTTTGACAAAGTTTCATGGCTTCACTCTCCAAATGCTCGTCTCTATTGTTGATTTTACGTATGTGTAATGCCTGCGACAAAGGGATATTGTTGATTTGGTGTCTCGGTTGGCAGCTGCTATAGTGTAGATAAAGGTGCACATTCCTGGGTTTGTTGCAAAGCTTTGTCCCCAGTGTACCCTCTTCAGATATGAAAGCAGTAGTGTCCAGGAAGTTGATTTCTATCTCGCTTATCTCAGTGGTTAGTTTTTTGTTACACCTTCATATTTATATATATAACCTGGTGTGTGTGATACCAACCAAACAAGACGGTGGAGAACTCTTGGTATAAGGAGTTAAGGACCTAACAAGTGGGAGTTCTTTTGGATGAAAACTTAAAGTCTGGAGAAGTGGGACTTGATGTAAAAGATGTCATTGCTCAATACTAGTGTCAAAGCTACTATACTAGTGTAACAGCAAAAAGAGTAGCATGCTTCCACTGGGGATCGAACCCTAGGTTCCTAGGCGGACGGTCTACCACTTAGCTAAAGGGTTATTCTCTCTAGCGTGAAGCGAGAAGGCGACTGTAATCCTATGGCCTAAGATAGTCTGGGAAGCTAGAAGGTGACTGTAATTCTATGGCCTAAGATAGTGTGGGAAGCTAGCAGGCAACTGTAATCCTATGGCCTAAGATAGTGTTGGAAGCTAGCAGGCCACTGTAATCCTATGGCCTAAGATAGTGTTGGAACCTGGCAGGCCACTGTAATCCTATGGCCTAAGATAGTGTTGGAAGCTAGCAGGCAACTGTAATCCTATGGCCTAAGATAGTGTTGGAACCTGGCAGGCCACTGTAATCCTATGGCCTAAGATAGTCTGGGAAGCTAGAAGGTGACTGTAATTCTATGGCCTAAGATAGTGTGGGAAGCTAGCAGGCGACTGTAATCCTATAGCCTAAGATAGTGTGGGAAGCTAGCAGGCCACTGAAATCCTATGGCCTAAGATAGTGTGGGAAGCTAGCAGGCGACTGTAACCCTATGGCCTAAGATAGTGTGGGAAGCTAGCAGGTGACTGTAATCCTATGGCCTAAGATAGTGTCGGAAGCTAGCAGGCAACTGTAATCTTATGGCCTAAGATAGTGTTGGAAGCTAGCAGGCCACTCTAATCCTATGGACTAAGATAGTGTGGGAAGCTAAAAGGCGACTGTAATCCTATGGCCTAAGATAGTGTGGTAAGCTAGAAGGTGACTGTAATCCTATGGACTAAGATAGTGTGGGAAGCTAAAAGGCGACTGTAATCCTATGGCCTAAGATAGTCTGGGAAGCTAGAAGGTGAGGGTAATTCTATGGCCTAAGATAGTGTGGGAAGCTAGCAGGCCACTGTAATCCTCTGGCCTAAGATAGTGTGGGAAGCTAGCAGGCAACTGTAATCCTATGGCCTAAGATAGTGTTGGAACCTGGCAGGCCACTGTAATCCTATGGCCTAAGATAGTGTTAGAAGCTAGCAGGCCACTGGAATCCTATGGCCTAAGATAGTGTTGGAAGCTAGCAGGCCACTCTAATCCTATGGACTAAGATAGTGTGGGAAGCTAGAAGGCGACTGTAATCCTATTGCTTAAGATAGTGTTTGAAGCTAGCAGGCTACTGTAATCCTATGGCCTAAGATAGTGTGGGAAGCAAGCAGGCCACTGTAATCCTATGGACTAAGATAGTGTTGTAAGCTAGCAGGCCACTGTAATCCTATGGACTAAGATAGTGTGGGAAGCTAAAAGGCGACTGTAATCCTATGGCCTAAGATAGTGTTGGAAGCTAGAAGGTGACTGTAATCCCATGGCCTAAGATAGTGTCGGAAGCTAGCAGGCAACTGTAATCTTATGGCCTAAGATAGTGTTGGAAGCTAGCAGGCCACTCTAATCCTATGGACTAAGATAGTGTGGGAAGCTAGCAGGCCACTGTAATCCTATGGCCTGAGATAGTGTTAGAAGCTAGCAGGCCACTGTAATCCTATGGCCTAAGATAGTCTGGGTTTTCTTGTTGCTTTGAAATCATGGTGTTAATAATATGATTTTCTTATCAGATAAATAAAGTAATCAAAATGTAACAAAAATGTTTTTTTAATTATATAAAATATTTTGAGTTATATGTATAAAGAATATTGTGTGATATATTTTCTTTTTTCCAATCAGTATTGTTGTAACAGGAACACCAAACAAGACCTGACCTTCACATGGCCAAAGCTCCAGTGTTAAGTGAATTATTGTGAAGGGAGGCTATAAGAACACCCAAGATGATTAAAGCTGTCGGTTACTATGGTTCCCTGTGGCTGGTGGCTGACTTTGTGGAGCAGAAGATCGTTTGTAAGAAGGTGGTGTATGACCCTTACAAGGCTGCACGCTCTGTGACCGTTGGGGGCGGAGTAGTGGCCCCTCTCGTGTATACCTGGATGAAGGTTGGCGAGAAAATACTGCCAGGGAGGTCACTTCGCACAGCGTTGATGAAAGTCTGCATTGACGCATTTGTCTTCGGTCCTGTTGCTATTTCATCATTTTATATGTGTGAGACATTTTAAGCATCTTATTAACTAGTTTTGTGTACAACTTACAAGTATCTCCTAACAACATTGATCCATATACTAAGTATAACAAATGTGAAAATCATAAAAGACATATGTAATACTTTTTTTTATTACATTTCATTTTTAATGCCTTCTGGGATAAAATTCCAATTTGTTTCATTTATTAGAGAGAAAGTATCAAAATATACCCAGGTGTGTGTCTGCGATATCACATCATTGTACCGAGGCTGAGCTGTTGGGCTTATTTATAGATCAGGTTACAGATATACATTTTTTCTCTCAATAAGGTAAATTGTGACAAAGAAATATCGTTATTAAAAGGAAACGAAATGACACTTATTCCACTTTTCCATAAGATAGGGTATGCTTTACTAAAGGCTTCAGTTTGATTAATATTGTAATACTGTGTGATCAGTTGATCGTATTTAGTGAATAAACCTTTTGTGTATGAATGGAGAGTATGCTTATAATTTCAGACTGAGAAATAAATTAATTTGGTGAAATTTTGTTCCCACTTGAGTGTCCAAACCCAAATATTTGGGATCATCAAACAAAAAATGTCGACCAAAAGTTTATCAGCTGTTTCTCTGATTTTGGTTTGTTTTAGCATCATCTCTGTTAGAAGGGAAGAGTTGGCAGGGATCTGTGGAGGAGTGGAAAAAGAAACTAGCGCCAACAATAAAGGTTAGTTTTGTATCATTCTACTTGTCAGCATCATTATATATAGATATCTTTGATATCAAAGGACTCCATTCTCTGTAGACATAATATACACATTTTCTATACCACCTTGATATCATCAAAAGCAGAACTGTTAGATTTTAAAACAATGTATGTGAAGTAACAGGATCAACTTTCCTCACCATAACGTTACTGTTTCCGTTGCTGAAGGATTGAAAAAATCAAAAATCTATCCGAATCAGTGTACTTAGTTGGTTGGTTGATGAGTTTATAGTCTACACTTCGAAGTCGGTGTTCGGTCGATGTGAGGAGGTGAATTGGAATTGGCGCTTACCGGGCCCTCAGTGATTCAAAAGTCCCCTGCCCATTCAGGTCACGCTCTGAGGTCGGACAGCTCCTCAGATACAGACAGGCTGTCGTAGCGGCTGTAGTCCACGGATCGATGTCCTTCTAGTAGTCCCCGCTGCCCTCCTATAATATCAGTGTAATGAAACATGAACTTTTTATACTGAATTCTGAGACTAAGGATCCCAGTACCACTGCCAGAGACTGTAACTCAGTATTGGAAACTGTTATTTCCAGCATGACTAAAGCTTTGATAAACCATTTCTGACAAGAAAACCATACCTTGTAGTACTTTTATGAGAAATAGTAAAGATAAAATAAACAAAATATGATCAACAACAGTGTTCTGAGTGTAAAAAGTGATCGTGGCTAGACTGGGATTTGAATGTCAAACTTCAGATTGTTATACTATTACACTAACCGATTGAGCTACCTGGTCAACAGAAGGTTCCTGGCCCAACTGTAATGCAGTTTTCCCAAATGGAAGTTAAGGGGAGGTTACTGTATATAGGGGAAACCACAGTGCAGTGGGACAGGGATCCTTAAGGGGAGGTCACTGTATATAGGGGAAACCACAGTGCACTGGGACAAGGGGTCCTTAAGGGGAGGTCACTGTATATAGGGTAAACCACAGTGCACTGGGACAGGGGTCCTTAAGGGGAGGTCACTGTATATAGGGAAAACCACAATGCAGTGGGACAGGGATCCTTAAGGGGAGGTCACTGTATATAGGGGAAACCACAGTGCAGTGGGACAGGGGTCCTTATGGGGAGGGTACTGAATATAGGGGAAACCACAGTGCAGTGGGACAGGGGTCCTTATGGGGAGGTTACTGTATATAGGGGTAACCACAGTGCAGTGGAACAGGGGTCCTTAAGGGGAGGTGACTGTATATAGGGGAAACCACAGTGCACTGGGACAAGGGGTACTTAAGGGGAGGTCACTGTATATAGGGGAAACCACAGTGCAGTGGGACAGGGGTCCTTATGGGGAGGTTACTGTATATAGGGGAAACCACAGTGCAGTGGAACAGGGGTCCTTAAGGGGAGGTCACTGTATATAGGGGAAACCACAATGCAGTGGGACAGGGATCCTTAAGGGGAAGTGACTGTATATAGGGGAAACCACAGTGCAGTGGGACAGGGATCCTTAAGTGGAGGTCACTTTATAAAGGGGAAACCACAGTGCACTGGGAAAGGGATCCTTAAGGGGAGGTCACTGTATATAGGGGAAACCACAGTGCACTGGGAAAGGGGTCCTTAAGGGGAGGTCACTGTATATAGGGGAAACCACAGTGCACTGGGACAGGGGTCCTTAAGGGGAGGTCACTTTATATAGGGGAAACCACAGTGCACTGGGACATGGATCCTTAAGGGGAGGTCACTGTATATAGGGGAAACCACAGTGCAGTGGGACAGGGATCCTTAAGGAGAGGTTACTGTATATATGGGAAACCACAGTGCACTGGGACAGGGGTCCTTAAGGGGAGGTCACTGTATATAGGGGAAACCACAGTGCATTGGGACAGGGATCCTTAAGGGGAGGTCACTGTTTATAGGAAAAACCACAGTAAAGTGGGACAGTGATCCATAAGGGGAGGTTACTGTTTTTAGGGAAAACTACAGTACAGTGGGACAAGGATCCTTAAGGGGAGGTTACTGTTTATAGGAAAAACCACAGTGCAGTGGGACAGGGATCCTTAAAACAGACACAACATAATTCCTATTTGACACTTCTGTTTAAATTGTGCAGGGTTTCTCCTATTCTATGTATATGCAATATAGAAAACAATTATGGTTCAATGTAAATGTTGATATTAAGGAAGCGTTGTACATCTTTTATTTCATGTACAAATATATAACAACTAGAGTAGGCCAGGAGCTAGTACTAATATAATACCCGGCCTCCTCTGCCCTGGCCGGGCAATCCCATTTTAGTTGAGCAAACCTGGTGTGAATCACACGGGGGCGATTTTAGAATTAATTGACAGGATCCGTATCCATTAATAGGTTTGTAATATGAACTTTTTCTGTTGATTTCCTACATAATTTTAAGTTATACTCTGCCTTATATGTTGTTAAATTATCAAGTTTACGTAGCAAATGCAATCGAAATCTGAATTGACTGCCATGTTGGAAACTTCATCCGTCTTCTGATATAGGTCAGACGTCTAAATATGGGTGTCATGACCACATATGGAAATTGTAGTAAACATGACGGCATCAGTAGTAATACTATATTTGGCCGTGACGGCCATATAAGGAAACGGGTAATTGAGATAACATCACGCCTGATCTAACATGGCGGTCGTTTCTATTTTTAGAGTTTTTAGTAAGGATTTGTTATTTCAATGAATATGCAATATTTTGATAATATTATACTCATATGAGGGGTGAATCATATATATTATTACAGTTTAGCACTTTTGATTTTCCTCAGTTTTTTTGAACAGGACCGCTTCATAGCTCTGACCACGCAATATATAAATGTAGGCAGGGACGTAAATGCAAGAGTAACAAATTTTAGCCAATCAGGACAGTATTTCCGTCTAATAGCTAAATCCAGCGACAGTTCCAAGAGTAAATACGAAGTTATAGAAGGATACTTAGTTCTAACTAAGAATAAGATTATATCCAATGACTTTTGAGTGAACTTGAGTCCGTGGTAATGGATTTTATTTGCAGTTTGCTTAGTATTACTGGTAGGTGAAGTATGTCTTGTTTATGAATATCTGAGCTCATTAACTAAGTATTAAGTATTTTACCGGAAGTTGCGTGTAGCATGCATGACCTACAGTCAAGTGGCAGTTCCCGATTGAGATAAACAGGGTGCATTTTCAAGAAGAATACGACCACAGATCATAGGTTGTACCAAGGAAAGGAATGATATTTACAAGCCATTCAAGTGCATTTGAGTCCAAAGTAACACATATTAAAGACAGTAGGTCCGGTATATGATTCAATTTAGTACCAGTGGGTACCGCTAGAGCGGCGTATGTGTGAAAACAGCATTTATGAATATCTTGAGCTCATTACTCAAGTAATACCAATAGTTTGCGGCTAACACCTTAGCTAAAAATTGATACAAAATATTTTTTGCATGAGATAAACAAGATCTACCTCGGTAAATAGTTATTTCTAGATGCTGTTTAAAGTTTGGAGATAAATTGATCTGGAGTCTAACCTGCACCTACTAACACACAATGGTTCAAGAGAAAACAATCTCTTTTATTGTTCTCACTATTTCTCAGAAAGTGCAATAGACATCTTTCTTATTTTTTACGTGAGAGTTCTCCATGTTCCTTAGTTACACATATCAAATTTTGAGACTGATCAGAACACAAAGATGGCCGATAGGTGGCCATCTTGAATTTTGAGAGTTAAAGTTTTTTAGTGCATTTTCTCAGAAAGTTCAGTAGGGATCTTTCTCAAATTTCACATGCAGTTTCCTCTTGGTCCCTAGTTCTGCATGTTGTTTTATATACTTTTAGAGAGCATGGTGTCTATGGCCTGGTGTACAGCTGCTCAACTTCATGTTTGTACCGCCGACCAGGAGAGTGTATTTTGTGGGGACTGTATCGTTGTTCTGGTCCGTGTTCTTGTTATATATGAAGGATGATGCTGTTAAACATGGAGCCAGGACAGGTACAGTATATAATTCACAGTTACTCTATAGCTGTATTCCACATAGGCACACGTTGTATATGCAACCCCAATCATATCCATCACTTCTCCAGGAAAAAACAATCCTAACACATATATTTATTTAAAGCACTGAAATCCAAAAGTACCAGGTAAAAAAATCTTGCTGGAGTAATCAGCATTTTCTTAGTAAGATAGCAAAAAACAAGGGAGTGATACAGGCATAATGTCGAGCCTCTTGTTTAAATATGTGAGAGATGAATCAATATTACCAGGTATGTGTTCCAACTTGCCATTTTACTTTCCAGATATTCATGAGGAATATATATTAGCAAAATCTGATGCATTCACAGAAATGAAAACCTCACGAATATATAATATGGTAGCAAAGTCTTTTAGTTATGGTGACTTTCTCTTTTGTTTCAGGATTAGATGAATCGTAGATGTCCCAACTCTATACACGAAAGTCCTGTGTCCAGCTATGGTATATATTTCTATAGCTAAATCACTGGTGATGACGTCATTGTGATATTCTAGATCTCTGCTTCTTCTGTCTACAGCTTCACAGTAAATCCTGACTTTACCAACATCAAAACCAAGTGTATTGTTTGGTCAGATATGACAATGAAGTCAGGGAAAACAGATAAGTCATTGTTCTGGGACCATTACATCAGGTGTTGACAAAGTCAGGTATCGCTGTACCATTGTATTAACCTCTGTGCAGTGTTATAATTGTTGTTTAGTATTACTGTAGCCTGTCCTTATTGCAGTATAACCACTTGTACATCATACATGTCTATATTATATCCAAGCTGGTAGGGATCATGTGACCACTTGTACATCATACATGTCTATATTATATCCAAGCTGGTAGGGATCATGTGACCACTTGTACATCATACATGTCTATATTATATCCAAGCTGGTAGGGATCATGTGACCACTTGTACATCATACATGTCTATATTATATCCAAGCTGGTAGGGATCATGTGACCACTTGTACATCATACATGTCTATATTATATCCAAGCTGGTAGGGATCATGTGACCACTTGTACATCATACATGTCTATATTATATCCAAGCTGGTAGGGATCATGTGATATCCAGTAACAGTGCCAATAGACGTTATATATTATTTTTAATTGTTTATTTATTTGGATTTTTAATTTCTATGCAAAATAGTTAAATACAAGAACCCGTGTTTACATGTATATTAAAATGGTTGTGACCTAGAATATACTGCTGTGAGTACAGAACATTCTAATTACATACTACTAACTAGGATGTTAACACAGCTATCTAACATATCCAACTAGCACTACAATGTCGCTAAATGGATATGGAGAAATTTTTAAATCATCTTTTTTAATTATTAAATATTTACTCCTTTTGTTTGGGGTAACAAAAACTTTTAAAATTAACAAAACTATTTTAATTATGAAATAATAAGACAACAGAGTTTATTTGTATAACTCCTTTTGTTCACAACTACATTTTTCATTTGTTTCGTCATTGTCACTATGGGACAGGTCAGAGAATTAATGCTATCATACATGTACACACTATACAAGAGAGTATCCCGATTCTAATCAGGTATATAACATTATATAACCATCGTTTTTTAATTTGGTATGCATATTATTCTTCATTAAAATGACACTAAGCTCAAAGTAAAGGGTACCAAGTATCAAGTTGGAATGATTTATTGTCATAGTCACAGCAATATCTCTACAGAATTGTTCAATAGAAGTTACATCTTGTGATGCATTTTACAGAATTATAATTGTTAGAAACGTGAGTATTTGGAAATGAATATACAAATGAAAGGGGAAAAACTGCAGGGGTCAAACTCCAGACCTATCAACACCTTACCAATGTGGCTATCTAGGAATTATAAATGCACAGAATCAAAATGAGGGATGAATAGCTTGACAAGGGATATAACTCTAAACACAGTAAAAGTCATTTTTGTTGCTTCATATTCAATATAAAAAAGAGATTATTCAAAATTGACAAAACAAGGTCTAAAGCGGAACTCTTTTTCCTAACTATAATTGGTGTAGTGGTACCCTTTGCCTTAACATGTAGAATGATATGATAAATTAACATGTAGAATGGTAGAATGATATAATAAATTTATATCATCTCTCAGTCATAATTGATTATTGTTTTAATGGTCATTTTGCAGACATGTAACCAGAGGTGCAATGACATTTTAATCAGAACTGTAAAGAGAGTCTTTATTTCTCTTTTGTTGTTAAAATCATAATAATGTGATAGAGTTACCGTAATTAGAATGGCAAGTGCTTTTTGCAATGATTACAGATATTACGTTGTGTAGGAGAAACACATACAAAAAGTGATGATAAACTGTAATTATAAGCTGTCAAAAAGTGCTGAATATTTTCAAATAATTTCCTAGTTGATGTTGTATTTTACATACCATGTTGTATATTACATACCATGTTGTATATTACATACCATGTTGTATATTAAATGGCTGGGACATTATCACATATGTGTGTAACAGTGTGTTTTGATGGTGATAGAAAACAATACGCCAGTAAACTGTTTTAATTTGTTTTACCGGTGAGTTTATACGCTGAAGGTTGAATGGTGAGTAGTGTTGTACTAGTATTTGCTACATTGAAATTATAGCCCTTTCACCACTGTAGACCATAATGGATTCATCCATATCAATGCATCGTAGATTCTAATTAAGTTACATAGGGGTGAAAGGGTGAAACTTATGTCGTTAATACACTATTTGATATTTTTACAGTATGATAGTATGAGGCAGAAAAACACAGGGTTATTATGTGTATTTAATAGGTGTTAAATTTTTACCTGTAATATTAGTTATACAAAAACAATTGTACATCTCTATATAGTTAAGAGTTTGGCGATACATGTACATGTACGTGAAAACGAGCTGGTGTAACCAGATGAATGATCGTTAAGTATTGTTGTCCTGGAAGGTATAGAAGTTTGGTAAAGCTTTCAATACTACGCTGTCTGCCCCCCAAACGCTCATGTTATAAAGAGGAATATTAGTGAAATGTTAGGGGCCTCATCTTCTACCACATGGCCTACCAATACATTTCTATTGTAGTCCAATGTATGGATAGGCTAGTGTAAACGTTTCAATATTTTTATGTTTTGATGTTGACAGATATTGCTGTATTTATAATCAGACTCAGGCAAATAACAGTAGATCTATTATTCTGTATAGTTTACATTGATTTCATATATTTGTTAACCAACATATGCTCTCATTTTTAATGTGTGCAGAAAATGTAAGGTATAATTTTTAAAGCGACATTTCTATGTTCCTCATCACTTTGTAAGAAATCTCTAATGTGTTCCTATTATACCATAGTGGGCCTGCTAAGCATCCCTATATCCTATTGTTTTGGTCCCAGAGTCTCATCACTTCACCATTACTTTTGGAGACTTTTGGAAGGGTTGCCATCTGATGAATTCTCTCAAATCACTCTTGTTGGCACAAGTGTTAGTGCAAAAGGAGTGTCATTGTGGGAGGAAAATGAAATACAATGTACCCAAAGAAACCTCACATAGTCAGGGAGGTGACCCCATACTGTTTCATGTCTAATTGGGAACCAAAGAAGCTTAAACAAATAAACATGATGGATCTTTACAAATCAGGTAGCATTTGTCCCAATGGAGTGGTTTGACCACCTAGTCAGTCAGCCTGTAGAGTACCCGGTGAGCACGAATCGAGCACGCCTTGTGTGACTGCTCATGGCTCTAGGTCACTTTCTCTATAAGAATATTAAGCAGTTTTGTAGCAACATTGTAGGGTTTTTAGGTCACCGGAGACAAAGTCTCAAGTGACCTATTGCGATCGCCTTTTGTCCGTCGTCGCCGTCGTGCGTCCGTCGTGCGTCCGTAAACAATTTACATTTTCGACTTCTTCTCCAAAACCCCTGAACCAATTTCAATGAAATTTTGCAGGGACCTTCCATGGACAAAGGTCAACAAAAA